AGGGCTGCCCCCCCATGCGGCCCAAACCAAATGTATGTGCAGCCCAAACCAAATTTTCATCTTCTAATGTGGCCCAGGGAAGGTGAAAGGTTGGACACCCCTGTTCTAAAGCATTTACTTCCTTGAGATCATCACCTGAAAAATATTAATTTCATGAACTCTAGCTGCTACAGATTAAATATTTTTGAATGATGATCTTGAAGTAAATGTGAGATTATACATATATTTTATTGATGGCAGTGAAAAGGTAAAATAAAACCATACATATACATGGTAACTGAAACTGGTATTAAGTTATGAATTCCCCTTTTGGCTGTGCAGGTCAGATCTATGGCAAGACAAAACTGAAAGGAATATTTGTTTCACTTTCAATTAGCACCCCAAACAGTATCTCATTTCTTGAACTTCAGAAATTTTTATTCCCAAAATACTTCTGTGAGTCTCTAACTACAACATCAAACTGACACTCTAGTTAAGTGGTAACATCCACTGCTGTTTTGCAATTCCACAGCAAGAATGCAAAGAATCCCTGTGAGAAAGAAAAGGTTATGAGAGAGTGTTTGACCCAGGGTCACACAATGATTCATGTGAGTTGGGATTTGAATGCAAGTCACTGCAGTTCTAGTTACAGCTTGACATTAACCATGGAATAAAAAAAAAATCAGTTCTAACAGTTATGGGGGATGTTGGGGTATTAACAAGTTTTCAGTAAGTAAATATAAGTCAAATAAACATGCCGAATCAGATCACACTGTATTTACGGCACTATAATTTTTCCAGAAATCCAAATCACCAGTGGTTGGGTTTTTTAATTTGCTGCCTGAAATGGCAGAACCTGGGAAATATCCACTACTCAGTAACGTATAATTAATGCATTTATAATAATGTATACATAATTTATGGCCTAATTAGTGTTGTAATAGGGCCTTAAGTCAAGCCTGATTTTAGAACAAACAATCCAACATCCATATATTTATCGGAGATATATGGCCTGTTTTCCAGAAATGCTTGCAATATTTCACAATATTGCAAGCATTATTGTGAAATAATGCCACTTTTTAGACAGTAACAAAAGCTTCTCTTGTCTCTTAAATTCACCCTCTTAGTAGTTAATACATGACACCAAACTAGGTTTTTGGATTTGACAGGTCTCCACCTACTTTGCTGCCTGTGAGCTGGCTGAGATGTGGTTTCAGCTCATCTCCAATTACTGCATGAATAGCTACAAGACAGAAGACACAAGCCTTTCGAACACTGCTCTCTGAGTTATCATAGCCCTAGAAAGCAAGAAAAGTTAGCATTTAAAAGTGTATAAAAAACTACATGAACAAAATTAAAAATCAAGGTCCTTACTAGTATATATATAATTAGTCAGGGAACAAACAGAACAATTCCTGCAATTATTAAGACAGAAAAAAACACTAATCAGCTTCAAAGGAATCAGTCTGGGTCAATTATATCGATCACATGTCTATTAAAAACTGAGCAGTCACAGAAAAGCTATCTGATTTTAATTCGTTGCTATTTACCAACTTTCCACAACTCATTCTTGCACATGTATTATAACTTCTTACCTGTATAAGACCTGGTACTATTTCTGGCAAGAGCTGAGCAAGTGTTTCTTTAGGTACTCTTTCTATGACTTTCGTCTGCATTTTGATTGCAGCCAGATTGATAGGGTAATCTGCTGTTTGAATAATGGGGCAAAGTACTTTGATGCACTGATCTGGACTAATGGATGTAGCAAGCATAGTAGCAGCTTCTTCAGCCGATCTTACTACCTAAAATAATAAACAGAAACACAGAGAAACAATTAAATTGCATTGGTTCAATTCCACTTTGGATGTTTTAATAAAATCATGTAGAGAATGAAATATAAATAATATTTTGCTGTATAACTTAATGCCTCTAGAAGAGCAGCCTGTCAGTAATGGGCCAGATTGTCAAAACACTGTTCAACACCCCCAAACTTGAAAATACAAATAGCTGTCTCTAACAATAAAGAAATTTATCAGTCCAAGCATTTGGATGTTTCATTCCCTACGTTGAAGTCAGCTTCTTTGATTTTCATTAAAAAGCAGTGCTTTTCAATAAAAATCCTGCTCAAATAAGCCCCCCCAGTCCCCATTAATTCAAAACTGTAATCCACAACTGACTTGCAGCTATATTTTAATTTACTACTTTATATTTAGACCTGACACCAAGACAAATATTTTACTTCCTCTATTATATATTCTAGAGCAAGTTCAGCTTCTTAAACTGTAATGCTTATTAACTTTTGCAGAAGTATATTTTAATATAATGAATAAAAGACACACTAATGAATAAAGGTGTGAAAATAAAGGAAGGTTTAACAACAATGCAGACATGGTAAACATTATCCAGTTGCATTCACAAAGGTGTGCAAGCCTCTGGAATATCACATCGCTGAGCAACATATACACATGAAGCAACTTCATGGGTGGAAAAAATTATGTGGAGACCCAGAAGTACTGATTATTTTAGGTGTCTGATGAGTAAGATGTATCATCATTATCAGTGCATCTTACTGATGTTCATATTAATAAAAGTTGCTCTGCAACTTATAAACCTTCCTTAACTGAGAAATAGTTCCTCCATACAAAATCTGTGGTACCAGACATTTATTTTGGTTGAATTTTTCAGAGCTATATGAATGATAGTTCCTCTAAGTTTGATATGCTTGCAATCATGGCTTGAAACTGGATGCACCCCCAACATTTGGGGGGTCCCCTTGCTCAGCCTATGGGCCCTTTATGCAATATCTATATTTGTTTTAATTTTTAACACCACATTAATTCTCCACATCTTCAAGGGTAAATCAAGCCTAAAGAAGAATATACTAACCTCTTTATGAGGGTCTTTATGAGCTTCCAGAGTCTTCATGATTGTGAGCTCAGCATAATTTCTAAATCTTGCTGGTTGGTGCCTTAAAATTTCTCTTAAGACTTTCAATGCCAGTGCCCTAATTGCATGCTGAAAATATAAACATACTTGCTTAGCCTTTTTTACATAGTTTTAGTCAATTTTTTTACTGTTGGTCTATGAAAACTTAGGGTGTTGCTGTATTGTGATTTATCCTGTGATTTGTCCCACTGTTGTTATGGTTATGTTTGGTATATTCTACAGCGGCTACACAACACACCGCTAAATCAAAAAAGAAGAAGTTTCTTACCTGTAACTCTGGTTCTTTGAGTGGTCATCTGTGAATTCACACTAATGGGTTAATCTGCGTCTGAGCAGAGCAGCCTCGGAAGCTTCTATAGCTTTAAGCACTTGGTTCCAAGACCTCCCACATAGGCTATATCACCGCCCCAGGCACCCAGTGCCTCAGTTCCAAGGAATCGACCGCCGCTGCCCAGCATGCGGTGGCACATGTGACGGACAGCGGGGAGGAGGGTGGTGAATTCACAGATGACCACTCGAAGAACCAGAGTTACAGGTAAGTAACTTCTTTTTCTCCTTCGTGGTCTCTGTGAATACACACTAATGGGTGACTAGCAAGCTGACTAACCCGGAGGAGGGACGTCACAAAAGTGCAGAAGCCAGGACAGCTTAACCTACCGCAGCCTCAGCCTTTGCTCGTACAACCAGACGGTTGTGTGAGATGAAGATAGACAGAGTGGTCCATGTGGCTGCCCGGCAGATATTCGCGATGTGCACTCCATGGAGAAAGGTCATTGAGGATGCTACAGCTCTAGTAGAGTAAGCTCTCACTGGTCCTGGAAGAGGAGTCTCTGCCAAGTCATAGGCAAGATGGATGGTCTGGACTAAGCATTTAGAGATGGCCTGAGAGGAGCTGGTGCTTCCAAGGAGGGGCCAGCAAAGGTGACAAAGAGACGTTGTGAGGCATGAAAAGTGGTCGTGCGGTGCACATAATAAGACAGAGCACGCTTCACATCTAGAGCGTGCAGAGCCGACTCAAGTGATGAAGATGGACAATTGGCTGGTTCCAATGGAAGGCAGAAGATACCTTAGACAGGAAGGTAAGGTCTGGTTGCAGGATCACCTTGTCTGTATGAAATTGCAGAAAGGAGGCTTGCTCTCAGTGCAGCCAGTTCTCCAGCCCTGTGAGCTGAGGTTATGGACAGGAGAAAGACTTTTTCGAGGTTTAGCAAGCGGAGTGATGCTGGCGCCAAGGACTCAAAGGGAGGCCTCACAAGCCGCCAAAAAACTAATTGGAGAGACCATTGAGGTGTTAGTGGTCTATAGGCAGGGCGCATATTTTCCAGGCCTTGGAAAATTGCTTGAAGGTAGAATGGGCCAGTCCCAGGCGAAACAGGTGCAGGAGAAACTGAAGGAATGTGTCCAGAGACATTGGCCTAGTAGGCAAATGTAGTCTTGATGGAAAGTGACAGAACGCCTACCCATTATAGCAGTAGGTCAAGACAGTAGAAGGTTTGCGAGCATGATTGAGCACGACTGTTACAGTCGGGGAAGTAGCCAAGCCGTCAGGTGGAGGGACTTGAGGTCCAGATGAAATATCTGACCCGTGAGACAGTAGATGAGGGACCAGCTCCAGTCTGATGTATTCTGCAACCCTCAAAAGCAGGATCAAGAGCCATGGCTGGTGAGGGGACCAAGCATGATGTTCGCACTCTCATGTTGGACTCAAATGGCAGTCCTTTGAAGAAGGGGGAAATGTGGAAACCTGTAGAGGAGGCCCCATGACCAATTCATCAGGAAGGCGTTCCCTAGGGAGTTGCGGCCAATGCGGGCCTGGGAGCAGAACCTGGCCCACTTCTTGTTTGTCTGGGATGCAAAAACGTCTCTCTGGAGTCCCCCATCAATAACAAGAGGGGGCAAAAGATGGCATCGCCGAGAGCCCACTCGTAAGAGCACGACTGTAGTCTGCTGAGATGGTCTCCTAAGGAATTGTTCCTGTCTGCCAAATGTACAGCCACTGGATAAATGTGGTGAGCATAACACCATCCAAAAGGTTGATTGTGTGAAAGAGAAGGCGTAATGAGTGCTGCCCTGCTTGTTTATATAATAAACTGCAGTGGCATTGTCTGATGTGACCTGGACTATCCAACCACGGAGTAAAGGCTCGAAGACCCCAAAGGCCTTGGTGATTGCCAGGAGCACCAGCACATTGATATGGAGGCCAGCTTCTATCATGGACCATGGACAGCATGGTGGTATAGACAAGCCCCCCAGCCTGACTGGCTGGCATCCTCAGTTTACTGAACTATCACAGGTCAAGAGACCAAAGGGTCTCCCTATCCGCAGGTTGGGGGGTTCTCCACCTGTCCAGTTGTGCAACAAGTTCCGGCATAACCTGGAGCAATGTGGATTGGTGGTCGCAAGATGTCCGAAAGAGTGAGAGATACAGTGGGGTCTCGACTTACAAACTTAATCCGTATTGGAAGGCAGTTCGCAGGTCGAAAAGTTCGTAGGTCGAATCTGCATTTCCCATAGGAATGCATTGAAAACCACTTAATCCGTATCTGCTCTTTTCCGTCCATAGAAACTAATGGAAAGCTGCTATTCTGCCTTCTGCCACTAGAGGGGGATATTTTTTATTTTTTTCTTAGGTCAAGAAAAGTTCAGGAAAGGAAGGGGGAGGCAGGGAACAGTTTTAAAAGCACTTTTGAAATCTTTTTTT